GCCTTAAAATAAATTAATACAAGGCATTCGTAAAAATATTGCTTCTAGGTAAAAAGCCATGCGCTTGGTAGACAAGAGGAAATTTAATTAATTAAAATTTCTAAAGCCATGTTAATCACAGACAGATTTTGATATCATCTACACGTTCAATGGAGATATATGTTTAATTTTAATAACAACACATTCTTAATTTATTTAAAATTTTGATGTGATCACATTCATATAAATACGTACTTTGATTTAAATTATTAAATAAACCTAAGCCTAAGACGCGTTCCGAAACCCAATAGAGACAGTCGAGGCGCGTCTTAGGTAACTAAACCTTTTATGGGTGATTCGATATTTACTTATTGTTAATTAAGATTTTCTCATATGTTTATCCATTTTTTTTTAATAATATATGAACCTTAGCTTGAAGGAAGCTCAATAAAACGAGCTAGAAGTAATTAAGAAACAAAATCGATACTTCCCGTATATAAAAACATTAATCCTCGTCGTAGCTTTTCATGGAAAATGTGTATAAGAGCACAAGACACGTATACATGTACATGTGTGTATTCATCGATGGTTGCAGGCAATCTACCTCGTGAGATGCTTTCAACCAGGTAATTAATGAAAGGGTTCTTTCGACATCCCTCCTAATTTGAACTTTAAATTTGCCAATAACTTTAAGTATACGTTCGCGTATTTTGCCAAACGTTATATGCGAATCTACACTCTGTTTAAAACCCTCCGCAAACAAACTACGGAGTATTAGAAGTCTTTAATGCTAATACACAATCGCAAATATACGATACCTTAAGGCGTTTTTGGATTTAATTTTATTGAACATCTAAATTCTTGAACTTTTTAATTTCAGCAAAAACAACTTTTTGTTTTGCTTGATTGTGTGTCTCTTTCGGGTAATACTACGCAGTGTATTCAGTTAAATACATAAGTCGATATTCTTACTAAGAGAGGATCATGAGATCCCATGAGAAAGAAATCGAGATGAACGTCTATCAAGAACATCAACACCTTGTGGTAGCTATACCGCATCATGAATAAGTTAGTTTCCCATTGTAAAACAAATTGACAGCCGATACCATACAAATCTACCCATAAGAATTTAGCCAATTGTACTAGTGAACCTTGTTACACTCAAAATAAGTAGCAAGCTTGCAGGAAGTAATAAGACACTACAAAACAAGAAAATTAAGCAAACGTTTTGTGGTCCGAAAGTCCACTGTTTTCTAGCAGCCAGTCCAGCCCTGGCAGGGAAATGCAACATTGCAATGCCGCATTCCATCAGTTTCAATATTCGTGTTGTTCGAGTTTTTCTTTTGCATTTTGTGTTCTTAATACTACGTCGAAATGTACTTTAAATAGTACTACATACTATCAGCGATGAACAAAGTAGTTATTTAATTAATTGTTATCCCAATGTGCCCATTATATATAACAGCGTAGTAATAAGCTGTTGATATTTGTTTTATTAGTGGTTCAACAACCATCACTGTCTACATTTTTCATCGAAGTAGTTGCCATTCTTTCTACACCCCAGAACTTCCTACACAATCGATTATTTTGAACTGTGTAGTATGACTCCTTACTATATTTTAGAACTTTACAATTTCCTTAGTAAATTTTGTAATATCCGAAGGAATGGGAGGATTATGTAAAAATGATATTTTTGCAGAATTTTAAAATTTGTGGGAGTACCTACAATTTTTTATTGCATAAAGTGTAGGAGATTGCTGTACGTATCTCGTTCCAAAACTGTTACATGATTTTAAGCTTTCGCAGTTTCTAAACTCATTCATATATGTGCCACATGTTCATTTTTTGTCAATGCACGTAGCAGAATATTTACAAATAGTTTAGGAAGATGTGCAACGGTGCCAGAAAATGCGTAATTATAAAATGGTGTTCTGGCAAACGCCGAGATATGCTATTGATTTATATACCTAAAAGGTGTATAATGCGCTTACAATTAACATATTCAACGGAAGTGGTTACTCTCATGGTAATGCGTTTGTATAACTCATAATTTTTATTTAACAGGAAAATGTCAAAAGAAAGCTAATTTATTAACATTACACATTTCTTTAAACATACGTGTTTAATTTTTTCTTCTTTTTTTCAGTAAAAGTTAACTAGCAAATATGACGATGTTTTGCAAATATGTACGACGGCGTCTTTCTAATTAATTGCGCCATTAATATAATTTTATAATAGGAAACACATTTGTATCCTTTCAATTACATCTAATGGTTTTCATAAATTAAGCAGTAAACCGTTTTGAATTCTATAGATACCATTTAGATATAATAGAAATGATTGTTTCTTTTAATATCAAGATATGGACCGTACACCGCCATCTATTGGTATTCGCTATGTAATACGCCGGCTTAAGACTCTTATTTTATTTATTAGGGATATATTATTAGGGATTCATTATCATTATACGAATAAAGAAAGAATCGCGGTGTCAGTTACTTGTTGCGTGTAGACAATAGCAAAATATATGTCTATATGAATTTTATTATAGGTTAATAAAAAATGAAATTAATCAAAATATAATAGTAGAGTCGAAATAAAGATAACAACAAATTAAACGAAACATCTCAAAAAACCCCGATCAGATCTGACCTGTTTGCTGTTGGCTCGTGCTTGTACTCATATATGTATTTCTACCCTTCCTTGGAATATTTATAATAACTTGGCCCTGACCATTGTAATTGTGATCCAGGGTACATGTATTATCTTAAAAGGCGTTCATTTGCAACAAAGAACTCAATAATTTTATAGACTAAGCACCCGCTACGACGTGTTGACCGATCAGACGTCCCACACCTTCTGTCTCTGCAATCACACGCGTCAACCCCTAACACCCTAATCGATGCATGGATTTGGTCACACCTCGCTAGATGGATGCACTGTCTAACGCAGAATGGGTTGCCCGACCCTTTCATCAATCACTCAGTAAACTAAACGTTTCAAAGGGACTTGAAGTGCAGATGGGAACGAATAAATTCGAAATCCTGATCCGCTTCTAATGGTTTCGATATATTACCGACTAAAACTTAATGTTCTTTTAATTTAATTTGTATCATTCTGTAATGATCAATTAGAAATATGGAGTCCTAAAAATAGCTACCGGATGTAGAGTATTATTTCCTATTAGTTGAAGGTTAAAATTTAGAATAATTAATACCAACAGTGATAGAATGTGATGTTATTTGTAAAACCAGTTATTGTTTTTACTATAAACACGGTCAACTTAAAGATAATTTTCATTATTAGAAAAAGGGATTAAAATGAGGGAGCTTCAATACAATGACCCATTTCCAAAGGATAAGATTGGATGTCTACCTATGCAAGGAAAGCTGCAGGCAAAAAATGATTTTTAATAAAATGAAATCATTTATTGGTCGATTAGTTTTAAATTTGAAGAAATTTTTAAAAGAGTTAATTCGTTTGAAGGAGCGCAGTGAAACGTTAAGTTTCAATAGATACATCGTCCGCGTTTTTAATTACAACAACCGTCAGATTGGCCGCGATACAAAAATTCATCGCAATTTTATTGTGTAAAGCGTGGCCGTTCACGGCAATTTACAATGAAAAATTATTCCGATGGGATTGTGTGCGTCGACTAATTTTTGTTGTTCGTTGCAGATTACTCAGCTTTTGGAGGAAGTCCAACGGTTACGACTCAGCATAACGAAACTACAGGAGTCGTCCGTGTCACAAGTTTCGAGATTAGAAGAAGAACTGGAACAGAAACGCCAACACATCGCACGCTTAGAGGCCAAACTCGACACGCAAAGAGACTACGACGAAATCAAAAGGGAAAACAGGTACGTAAATGACTATTATGATCAACTAATTCAACAAAATTGGCAGCTAAGCGGAATAAAAACGGTAGAGTAGCAATTCCTGTCGTAATTTCTGACGCTGTGCCCGAATCCGCATTTAGAACTTCCTCAGAACTTTAAGAAACCCTAAACTAGAAACTCCAAAACTACAAGGCTAGCATATTTTTGGTCTTGGTTTCTACCTAGCACATTTACTCCCCGTCTTGATCTTGCTTTTCGATGTTGCGCCCTGGTCTTTCTTCTTCAGTGCTTCTTTTTACAAGCGTATAGTCATCATCATAAGGTCGCCAGCCCTAAGACTGGTTGGACACGCACCTCCACTCTTTCCTATCCTGAGCTAATCTTCGCATTTCCCTAAAACTAGAACAGCCCACATCCATAACTATTTGTGAACAGTACTCTAATCTAGGTTTACCTCTACTCCTCCTAACTACCGTTTCAACCTGTAATATGTCTCTGACTAGACCTTCATACCTGAGAAGGTGTCCTAGCAATTTATCTCGCCTATTTCTTATTGACATCCATAGAGTCCTCTATTCTCCTATTCTTTCTAATACCTCTTCATTTCTAACCTTCTCTATCCACGACGACATCCTCATCATTTGTCTGTAACACCACATTGCGTAGGCCTCTAACCTTTTCTTTTCCGCCGCGCCCACTATCGATGTTTCGCACCTGTACAGCGCCGGGCTCCAAACATGCATCCTCTGCTTTATATCCCTGCTACTCCTTCCGTCATGACTTATCTGACTTCCTAGATACCTAAAATCGGCCACTTCTTCTAATTTTTCGTCTCCTATCTTTATATTCGCTCTTTCCGTACTTTTTCTTCTCTTGCATACCAGTATTTTTGTTTTACATTTATTTATTTTCATACAGTACTGTAGTATAGCACAAGTTTAGAAAAGTTTTTGTTATCGTTATTTTTCATGGAAAAAGTCTTGCTCCTGGCCTTGGTATTACGACCATAGCTAAATCTTGACCTTAGTAAATATGCAAGGTCAAAGCTGTTTTTGCTGATTACTATTTCCTAGCATTACTCGATACGTGAAGTAGATGGACAAAGCAACCAACGGAATCATTACTTGAACACATAATTTTTTTTTCGTTATCAGTTGCCACCTTAATAAAGTGATATCATCCAATAATAATGTTCATTGGTAGGAGATAAGGCATCATCATCAGGTGAAAAATTTATCGCACTGCAAATATTTAGATACCGTTTCAAATGCTACTCTTACAGAATGTTATTGGACAATTTTAAACCTTATCTCGCTGTTATAACAAATAGTGATGAAACACAGTTCTGATTCTAACCGGGTTGTTGTCTTCATAGTCTTGTCATAGAAAAACATTGAAAACCATTGTTCAAACTGTGTAACTCATCGTTAAGGCATTAAAAAAAAATTTTTTTCGTAAGAATTTGCTTTTCTAATATTTGAAATTCCAGTTGGATTCTGTCATAAAATTAGGTAGAATATTAATTAATATATCATAACTACTATATATTCTAGTATAAAAATAAACAAAGAAGTGAGTATTCCTTAATTTATTATTCACTTTGTTGCAGTTTATTAAAATCAGTCTCGTTCAACGCCAGCCATCCCAGTAGCAAAACAGTTGATGAGCTGATCGATAGATCGAAGAATTTACCTCAACAATCTGAAAATTTGGATGAAAGTCCTGTTCAAGAAATCGAAGGTACGATGAATTAAGTATTTTATTGTGTGACTTGAATTGCGTTACTTGCAGGAAAGAACATGCGAAATTCTTTTTAATTTTTTTGTGTTTTACCCATACAACATTTGTCAATCAAATTAATTATCAAAATTTTGAATTACTATGTAATTCCTTTATACTCAAAATTACTTCCAACAATTGCGTAATTTAAGTCATACAAATCTCTTATCGCTTTAATCGCAAAAATTGTCCCCAACTTTATCCGATATCCCGTCCCACATATAATCCAAAGTTTAATTTGTTTTTGTAAATTATGTTTCACTAATTACATTCATTTTGAGAAATATATTTTATAAAGATGCCGTAACAAATTAATTGCCCTTATAATGATTCTTAATTATACTTTTAAAACGATAGAAAACGCATTCACCTTTTTTGTTAATTGTTGTGTTAAAAGTTAAAATAAACCGCCCAATCGTAGCATGCGTTGTTACTAGGTATCAGATGAAAATTACTTCAAACAATTAAAATAATAGCTTGCTGCGGTAAACATGTGTCAATCGTCCAATCATAGCGCTCTTTTAATACTATTAACAATTAAAGAAGGCGGATCACTGTTAGGAATTGAGTCAGACGAGTCACTGCTAACAATTAAAGTAATAACTTGCTACAATCGTGTCAATTATCTAATCATAACTCGCTATTAATACTGTAATACTGTTGACAATTGAAAAGGACGAGTCACTGCTAAACACTGCTAACAATTAAAATAAAAGCTTGCTACAATAAGCAACTGTCAATCACCCAATCATAGCTCGCTTTTGCTACTGTTAACAACTGAAATGGGCGAGTCACTGCTAACAATTAAACAGATACAGCAAAAAACAAGTATCAATCGTCTAATCATAGCCCGCTTTTGTTACTGTTAACAATTTACGTATTTTAAATATATGAAATCCTATGACATTGTTAGTTACTTAATAGTGGTTTAATATACAATATTAATTTGAAATCATTTTTTCGATTTTTTAATTTACCCACTACAAACTACCTCAAATTAATGAGGGAAAAATTGTTGCTGTTGTGACACCCCTGCCGGGAATCGAACCCGGGACCTTTGGCTTTACGCACCAATGTTCTGACCACTAAACTACGAGAGGTGACAACAACAACCACGACCAACCGACCTACAAGGTTAACGATCCGTCGAACTAATGTAACTATATACTGAATATACTATGATTAAACATACATATAATTTAGATATCTTTTAGAAGTGAGTTAGTTTAATATGAAATATTATTCTGAAAATTCATTTCTGAATTTTTTACCCANTTTCACTTATCCTCGGAGTAGGACGAGATAAGTACATTTTAGGCAATATTTTCTGGACATGTATATATATATATATATATGTTTTATAAAAACAGGAACAAAAGCATTATATGCTATGTTCGTATTTATTAATTTTCATTTCCTTCTTAATGACAGTCTCAATGGTGCGTGTACCATGTGTGCAGTCTACATCTCTGGATCATTGTGTACACCTTTGTTGTCTGTAATTGTCTATAAACAAGTTTAAAATACATTGTTCAAAGTATGTATGTGTCTCGGTTATACGTAACTAATATTTGTCCGCAGTTGTTATTCGTGTGTCTGTTCTAAGTTCGTATTCCGACGACCATGGCCTGCTAGTAATATGTATATGTATAGTTGTACTAATATACAACACGCCATTTTATTGTTGCAATTCAATTATAATAGTTGTTTATTAAGGTGCCCGTTCCCACGCGGCCGATATTTCAAAAAAGTGGAACAAGACACGTACACGCACGCACACACCAACCGACACACGGATACAATTATAATTATCATATTCGACTCTTCGAATTATTGAGCCACCGCGAAGTTTTATTGTTGTTGGCATCTCTGGCATTTTCACATGGTGCTTATTGTATTAAACGACCGTTTTCGAATCATTTTTCTTTGGACTTTTGCAACTGACCTCGCTCGCTCTTGCTTGTGCGACCGAAAGGCGATTGTTAATGGTTTCAAATAGTAAATTGATAGTTCCCAAAGATTTCATGCAATTAAGTAACGTACCTATTAACTAACTTTTCTCAAACGGTAACGTAAATGCCGAACGAAACAGAGACGCAAAACGAGAGAAACCATTAAAAAACGATCGGAAAGCGGCAACAAATTGTAGAGGGAAACGAAAAGAAACATTTGGGGTTGTTCATTTCCACTAACTACTAATTCTGGTGGGCGAGTAATCCCACCGGACTACACTGGAGAGTAAAGCGGAAGGCGCCCCTCAGTCTCTTTGTAGGAATGAGTGGGTGGTGGTTGGGGTGAGAGAGATTAGACGTTCGAAATAAAGACAGAAGAGAGTGAATGATTATCTGTGGAATATTACTGTCCCAGCATTTGCCTGAGTGATATAAAGAAACCACAGAGTGAATGATTATTTGTAGAATATTACTGTCCCAGCATTTGCCTGAGTGATATAAAGCAGCCACAGAGTGAATGATTATTTGTGGAATATTGCTGTCCCAGCATTTGCCTGAGTGATCCACGGAAACCACAGAGTGAATGATTATCTGTGGAATATTACTGTCCCAGCATTTGCCTGAGTGATACAAAGCAACCACAGAGTGAATGATTATTTGTGGAATATTACTGTCCCAGCATTTGCCTAAGTGATCCAAGGAAACCACGGAGTGAATAATCATCTGTGGAATATTAATGTCCAAACATTTGCCTGAGTGATCCATTGAAACCACAGAGTGAATGATTATCTGTGGAATGTTACTGTCCTAGCATTTGCCTAAGTGATATAAAGAAACCAATGGGACGCCAATCTCTAAAAGTTATTGACATAATCACCATTCTGGATTCTTTTCTTTTTGTCAAGTGATTTAATGATATGAAGACTTACGGTTTATTAGCTGATTGACTTTTAGTTTCTTAGTCATAAACAGTTGTAGTGGTTTCAGTCCAATTTCCCAACTCTTTCAAATCATTTGTCAAGGATTTGTGTAAAAGTGAGTTGATAGTTGATTACTGCAGTTAATTATCAATTATACATAAAAGAAAGCATTGCTTTGATTAGGAACCAATGGATTGTTTCACTTTGAAATACCTACAGGTCATTTGTTTTATCTTTCACTCTCTAATTCGTTATTCTATAGAAAAAAAATACTGAAAATAGAAACTGCATCAGATGGAGTGAAATTTTGTAATTGATGTTTCATTGTTTTCAAGTTTAACAATTCATTCAATTTAGACATACTTAAATTGTAAAAACTTTACGGTTAGTTGTCTTTATTTCGAGATTATTAGTACGTAGGTTATCCTAAAAAAAATGTAAAAAATAAAATGAGTTGCACTTAAAATAATATATTACAATACGCAAAACGTATAAAGTATATTGTGTCTCTCATCAGAATTACGTTTTGGTGAAACACCTTCTATCTAAATATGTTTATAACATCACCCTTATGATGAGAAACCTTCAATAATACGAAGCAAGTACTGTAATTGTACGTACGGCTCTTGTGACGATGAACCATGACGGTGAATCTTCAAAATGGCGGCGCATTGGTCTCGTACCATCGCCCATAGAGCCATAGAACCGTGAACGAGAACAACACAAAAAACAGTTGCTGCAATGAGATCGAGTACTATCCAGTTGGCTGTTGGCCTCCTGCGATTTATGTGGTGCTTCGAAAATAATTGTTGTATCAGACGAGTCCATCAGCAAATCGACTTCCTGTTACTATCATGGTTCACCGATCCTGATTTATTGTTAGGAATAGCAATTAAAAAAAAAATCAAATTAAAACTGATACCTAACAGCTATGTGGGTAACGAACACTGACTCGATTCGGAGGACGCCATCTTGACTCCGAGATCTTATCGGGGCCATTGTGGCCATTAATTAGAGAATTCTTAATTTTAGCGGTAATTCATACGTTACAACGATACGCATCTATTGCTTCCTACATTTTTCACATAATACGTTAAATACAACTGTACCAACAAGAGCCAATTCTTTTTAAAACATTAAAGTACAATATGGTTTGGGAATGAAACAAGTAGCAGGATTCGAAAAAGTTCCTGTTATGAAGAAATTTCTCGGTAAACAGCGAGTATAGGTTTAATAAATCTGTTTCCGAATGTTAGAGCACATAATGGCCGAGTTTACTTAAGTAGCCGCGTATGCGAGTGCGCCTGGCAGGGCCGCATTTTTAAGAAATTAATTACTCCAACCAAAATATTGTCCGCGCACCTGACAACTTGAACAAGCGCGTTACTAAATTTAACAGATTCCTAGAATCCATTTTTTTTTCTACAGATAGTAAAATGGACACGCGACCCGCCCGATAAATCATTAACGTGGCGACTCTAAACGCTGATTTAGATGTTCCTCTTCTTCTACCACGCTACACCATCCAAAATACCGAGAACTAAACGGGAAAGCATTACAAAATTAATTTATTAGCGTTAATGTTTTCTTTCGGTTGTTGTTAACTTTGTAAAGCGACCAATTAACATAAATCATATGCAACCAACTACAAATAAAACATTAAACTGAACATGAGTTCTTGTTTATAAGCTTAAATAGTTTAGCTCACTTTTCTCTTAGACCAGGTATATAGACAATTCATTTCTTATTTCATTTCATTTCCTAATCCTTTTGAGTATGCTTATCATTATTAGTTTTTGGTGTCCCCGACCTGCTTCAATTTACGTACATATTTATATCGATGATCCTTTTCATGATCTTCTATGTCTCCCACTTATCATTGTTTCGATTCTAGGAGACGACATTGCTCCATCATCAACACCACATCACTCAACCACCTCACCACCCACCACTTCCGCGACACCGCCTTCGTCCTTGGCCCTTCCTCCTCTATTTCACAACGTCGAAACTTTCGGATCAATCCTTGGAGAAGAGATCGCCGCTACTTGGCGACGAAATATCGAAAATATAACACTCAACAATCGAATAATTCCGTCATCACCGTCCACAGATGCACCACCATCGAAAGCCGTGACTCCCGTGGCCGCGGATTCGACGGAAAAGAGTGCCGCATCCACCCCACAGCCGGCGGAAGCGGCATTGGGCCCCCGATCGAGCCCTGTGGAACCCCTTCTCAACGGCAGTCCGAAAAGCCCTGAGGATAACAACAACCAGCATGTCAGCAACAACAACCTGCCCCTTGCTGCCACCATGTGCGCGGTTAACAACTTTCTCCGATCCGATGACAGTCTGAAGAGTCCGTACAGGTTCGACGATCACAGATCGCCGTACAGGTTCTCGGACGATTTGGGAATGGCACCGGGAACGATGGTGGGACGACTGGGAGAGAGCCTGATACCTAAAGGCGATCCCATGGAAGCCCGACTGCAGGAGATGCTGAGGTACAATATGGACAAGTATGCCTCCCAGAATTTAGACACACTGAACATTTCGAGGCGAGTGAGAGAACTTCTGTCCATAAACAATATCGGCCAAAGACTGTTTGCGAAATATGTTCTCGGATTATCCCAGGGGACCGTTTCGGAGCTGTTATCGAAACCCAAACCGTGGGACAAACTGACTGAGAAAGGACGGGATAGCTATAGAAAAATGCACGCCTGGGCTGTCGACGAAAACGCCATCATGCTGTTGAAGTCTCTGATACCAAAGAAAGGTAGGAATTCAATTGTTTTATTGTATCAAATGGTAATGGTAGAGACCAGGTGTACACACAGATTGTTTTCGTAATAACCTTAAAAAGGCACAATTCAAACACTTAACGCAGTGGTTTCCAATCTTTTTGTACCTGCGCCCCCCTTTGAAAAAAAAATTGTTGCGCCCCCTTAATTTTTCTAACAATTACAACATTATAAAAATTTAATGCGACGGTTGAGCTTGTTTTTTAGCGCAAATTTTTTCAAACCGTGGTATCATTGAAAAGAAATCGCAGTTCTCAGTTCTTTTTCAATCACTAGGCGAGATCGATACTTTGTTTTTAAGACAGCTACTGTAGAAAAACCGGTTTCACATAGGCAATACGTTACAAATGGCAATAAAATTTCTAATTTGGAAACAGCTGCATGCCCCCCTTGCAACAGTCTCGCGCCTCCCTAGGGGGAGCGCGCCCCACAGATTGGAAACCACTGACTTAACGTATCAGTTTTGTCCAACTCCTAGCTTTGAATTCGTTTATTTCCGCATGCAATACGTTTTAATTGGTTAATTTTTAATTGTGAATTACTGGATAAATATAGAACATACATGCATCCCACTAGTTTATACTCTGTCCCCATATTATTCGTAACCGACGGTCAAATCTGCTGGAATATATTGAAAACATTCTGTGGGTATGTCTGTGAAAAATAAATCGTCGTGGTCGAAAATGATATTTAGGAAACAGCTGCATGCCCCCCGTGCAACAGTCTCGCGCCTCCCTAGGGGGAGCGCACTCCACAGATTGGAAACCACTGACTTAACGTATCAGTTTTGTCCAACTCCTAGCTTTGAATTCGTTTATTTCCGCATGCAATACGTTTTGATTGGTTAATTTTTAATTGTGAATTACTGGATAAATATAGACCATACATCCATCCCACTAGTTTATACTCTGTCCCCATATTATTCGTAATCGATGGTCAAATCTGCTGGAATATATTGAAAACATTCTGTGCAAAATATTTTCCGAATTAATGAAGATTTTCACTTACTGCAAACGTTTAAACCGTTCTAAACCATTATAACAAAAACGATTGAATTAAAACTGAGTAAAGAATGCCTTGGTCTGGTTCTTTTTCTCTTACTCATATGCGAAGTATAAGCTGCAGTTTTCCAGGTATTATTACGTTTCCTTTGAGCGTCCATGGTTTAAGTGAAAACCGATAAAACATCTTGGTTACATGCTTTTTATAAAATGCAATAAAACGTTCTTTGCAACGATAGTTTTTCTCACAGCGTATTAGCAATTCTTTCTGGGTTTTAAACGAAAGACCGAGCTTACTTTGATCCTCACTGATAATAATTGCATGTGAAACTCAACGAAAAACAAAAGCTGCCTTTAAAACGAAACTAATGACTTTTTTAAGGTAATACCAGATAAGCATTTGCGCGAATAGGAGTTTAATTAACCTTTGTTTTACAATTGCGCTTTTACGATCCTCAAAAGCATTAGACAACTTGCCATAAAAGAGCTCAGCACATACGGATGTTTATTTAGTATATTTACCCCTCAGTTCGCTTCTATTATCTGCTTCAACTCCTTTATGATATACCTGCTCCTTATTTGCCTCTAAGTCAATAAATATGAGTACTTTTTGTTGATCGAGAAAAATCTTTTGTCCGAAAAAATTGAAAATCAGCATCCAACAGTATCCAAAAAAACAAATGAACTGCAGATTCTTAACGTTCTTACTGATCTACTAATTAACAATCAAAAAACTAAATTGTTAACTGACCACAGCGTAGTTTAATGGCAGAATCTAACTGTAATACAGGATTTGGCTACTGCACTACAACTGGTGGAAAATTATTGAGAGATTACCGTTACGTCATCATCTTACTCTTCACGAATCAATCCAAAAAGGAATGACTGAAATTATCAACCGGATATAGAACTCACATTTAATTTACAAAATTCGATAAAAGTAAGAATTGTAGGTTGGTAGATATAAGTCTTTGTATGTCCTGTAACCAGAGATGTGGTTTATTCGAGACACTTGCGTTTAAAATGCAATGTATTTTTATCTCGCATTTAAGCACTTTTTTTAGAAAAGCAATTTGTATGTTATTTAAAATACTTTTCCAAACGCATTTCCTATTTGTAAAATTCAAAATACATTTGCCGTTAAGTTTTGCTAGTATCACCGATCAAACATTATATAAAATGGTGAATGAAAGTTTTCCACATTGGCCAGTATTAGAAGCTTAAAAAGGGAACAAAGAGATATTCCATGAATGTCTTCTAATTCTTTAATTGAAGAAAGCCCAAAAGATTCTAAATCCCTTGGAAATAGATAATCTAAAATATTGTATCGATATTGTTTTCTGAGTTCAATGTCATGATCCATGGAATTTGAAGTTCCAAATTGATATCAGCACCTGCCAAATCACCACTTATCGTACCTACCCGAGATAAAACTGTTCAATTTCTCAGAGTTTCTGAGAGCGAGACTCGAGTCTCCGTCTCTCATTGAGTCTCTCTAGTGTCGCTGAAGAAGACTGTCGAGAGACTGTCAAAAAAACTGTTTAGCATCTCTGAACGAGACTAGAATCTCTCAATAAGTGGTGTCTCGATAGACATTAATTAAAATTTTCTAAGTTTAACATATTTCAGAGATCCCAATCTTTCTACGAGAGAATCGAGTCTCTCAATTTTATTCATTCAGTCTCTCTGTGAGAGACTCGAATCTCTGAATTAACAATTTTATCGTTCCATTTCTTTCTCTTATTACAATGTGTAAAGATCGGAAACGAAATGGGGTTGTAAATACCGGGGCAGTTCAATAAGTACCCGTGTTAGAAACGAAGACACCTTTTTTTTAAAATTTGTTTTTTTATTTTTCAACATAGTCACCTTTTATAAAGATATACTTCTCCCNTTTTGGCGTGGTTTAATAAATGGCAGCACACGATGACAACACCAATTTCCCTCAGGAACGTCCTCTGTCTTCAAACACGGGTACTTATTGAACCACCCTCGTATTTCGATATAAAATGATTGATGTTGATTTTGCATCAATAAAATTATTTGTTCGATCTTATTCAGTTAAAAAAGTAAATGCTTCCTTTAGTTTCATTCCGTTTGTCTATCGTAACAACGATTCATTTATTAATTTTTAACAACTAATTCTGTGTAGCTCGATGTACTGTCAACAAAATTTAACTATGTCCCCTGGTTACAGTTTCCTTTAGACATTTAATGTAAATTTAAATTTTTTATTACTCAAAACAAAATAGCAGCTGCCTTAATACGCGAAAAATTCTGCATTCTGGTGCAATGAATATTTATTCGGTAGCATTCGGGGTTTATTTCTAACATTAAAATTTTTTGTACTGAATGCATTTCAGTTGTTAGAATGAGAGAGGCGCAGAGAGCCTTGAGCGGGGGTTTTTGTAGCAGTTTCTGTTTCCAATCTGAAAATTTTGTAGACGGTCAAAAGCAGGATTTTATGTCGAAATTTTACTGCGGCTCCGCTACCACGCTTTCCAACTAATAACACTTTTATTGCTGGAATTATTAATGTTTATGCAACTAATTTTGTACTGTACACTGTCTCCTGTCGCCATTGTTCTTTACCAGCATTGACACAATTTTTTAATGTCTCTTACGACATCATAAAACACGTACATATGACAGCATCTACTGCTACTGGTTTTTGTGCGTGATTTTCCTGCCGATATTGGATCCTAGCACGATGTGCATGGGCGTTTTATTATGCGATTTGCTAGGAACAGTTGTTTCAATTGTAAATCAGAAAAAATCGTAACCACCATATGCCAAAAACCTTACAAAGTCTGCAAAATTAAATATTTTGTTTGCTTACTGAATTAGTTCAAGAGAATATGCTCTGAATTTAAATATTTTCAGGGAGGATAATATATTTAGCATGAAGCATAGTCTTAAATGGAAAGCGATGAGCTGTTACATAACCTAACAATTTTGACAGCTAGTACCTGCCGTTCTAAAAGCATTGACTGTAAATGTTGATTATGAATGATTTAATTATTAGAATTGGACACCAAAAAAACGCAAACGGATTCTAGTAACTGTTGTCTTTAAGCAATAAGATCTCACAAAACCTAACAATTTATCGAGAATTTCATTGTTAGAATTCGATGCCAAAACAATCCCAACGGAACCTCTCCTTTTAGCAATAAGCTTTTACACAACCTAACAATTTTGACATATAGTACATGTCATTCGAAGAACATTGACTGTAAAAGTTGATTATCGAGGATTTAATTGTTAGAGTTCGACGACAATACAACCCAAATAGATTGTAATAACTGTTGTCCTTAACCAATAAGATCTTACACAACCTATCAATTTTAACATATAGTGCCATTCTAAAAGCATTGACCGTAAAAGTTGATTATAGAGAATTTCATTGTTAGAATTCGATGCTGCTGTCCTTTAGCAATAAGCTTTAACACAACCTAACAATTTTGATAGCTAGTACCTGCCATTGTAAAAACATTGACTGTAAAAGTTGATTATGGAGGATTTCATTATTAGAATGTATCCCAACTGGTATATGGGTGGAAAACGTTTCAATATAAGATACAAGACCTTCTAGATTTCCAAGGAAATATCTTCTGATTCTTGTTCATTCTCATTCTAAAATTAGTGAAGTGTGGAGAAAGTGTAGCTGTTCCAAAATTGCTGCACATACTTCGAAATTGACATCAACTTCCAATACATTTCCGATGTTGGAACGAACCCAAAACCGCAGATGATTCACTTTCCTTACAACTATGAGACAATAAGCCACAATCGCTCGACAGCGTACAACGCGTCTAATATTAGAAACATCGCAATAAAAAAAAAATAAAACACGGAAACTTTGTCGTATAATCGTCACTACCCAATTATTATTATTATCATATAAGATCCACCTATAATAAATGTAGCTGCTAGTAGAAAAATACAAATATTTTCTAATTAGCTTCGAACGTGTC